CACTTGACCGAGAGCCTCAGCCCCTGGATCTCAGGGCCCCTTCACTGTGGACCCACTGCAGGCGAAGACCTCTCACAGTACTGTGTAAACAGAAGGTCTCCTTCTGGTAATTATGGGATTAAGGATTAAATCTGATTCCCTGACGGGGGAGGGGCCGAGGGGACAGCCGGGTGGGCCCTTCCTTACAGGTGATGAATTCCGGGCTGTGCCTCTGACAGGTAGGACTGAATAGGTAGGACCCAACTCTGTGGCCCTCCCCAGAGCCACGGAGGGGGTGTAAGGACAACCAGGAGTGGCCCCAGGGCCCTCTCAGGCCCCTCCCCAAGGCTCAGGAGGCAAAGGACAGGGAGCACCACTCGCCAGTCACATCCCCACAACAGCACGCCATCCTGAGCAAGCAAATAAATGCAAATACCAAAGAAATGCCACTTGGCAGCCCATCCATATGTCATCGTGCTGACACCCAGTGCTTTGAAGGGTGTGAGGAAACAGGTGAGCACTCGCAACCCCCAGCGGCGGAGCGTAAATTAGTGCAGGCTTTCACAGACAGGCATTTTTATCCAAAACCTAGCGACTCCATTGCTAAGACTGTATCCTACGGGGGGTGGGGATCAGAGCTATGGAGGAAGATGATTTAAATCCCAGCATCATTTTTAATCGAGACAAACCAGCCATAACCTAAATGCCTCACTGATTAAAAACAAGGATGATGCAAACAAGAGCTGCACACCAAGGAACTTTTAAAACAGATTTGTAAAACAGGGGAGATTTGCTTTCCCAGGTCCAGGCAGGAGCAAGGGTCAGTCTGCCCGGCTGCTTCTCGTGCTCAAGCTAGAAACGATGGTCCACCAGGCGAAGCAACCTCGGTGAGGTCTCCTAAACCCCAGCTGCTTGCTAGGACTCCCACATTGTAGATGAGAAAACGGACGCTCACCAAGACGAAGCCACTTAGCCGACCAGCACTGCCGAAGACTTACTAAAAACCTACATGTTAGTCTAGCTTCTCTCACACGTCATGATTTAATGCTGTTTTAGAAACTGTAAAACCCAGTGTCAAACGCTAAGACTTTCTGTTAAACACCTGCTGAACGTATTCGTGTCTCCCACGACATTATCACTGTGCCCATTCTGCAGATGTGCAAACTGAGGCTCAGAAGTGCCTTGCTCCAGGGTCGCTTGGCTTCCAATGCAAAGGTCACATATTTACTATTACTCCTGGTGATTGTCTCATCCACACAAGGCTGACAAACCAGCCCCAGGGGACGGTAGAGAAAGACCAGGCCTTCCCTATCCGTAGTAGGGAAAGGAATGAGTGCAAAGCATGCCAGGTGGGGGTGCCCAGCCCCTCCTGTGCCTACTGTCAGCAACCTAGAGAGAAACACAAGCCCCGCCTCCTAGTTCCCTGTTCTTCATCAAGCTCCCGCTGTCTCCCTGCTCCAGGGACAGCCTCATCCCAATGGACAGAGCTGACTCCCGCCCACTCAGGGCCAGCAGAGGGGCCCGGGAAGCCCCCGCCTCCGGTCCCGAGTATCTCCCACCATTGGAAGCCCACCATTGGTACCATTCGGGTATAGAACTCCAGATACACGGTCCCTGGAAAAATCTCTTAACTCCACACATCATCAGCCTTGCCTACCTGCACTGGGCCGGCCACCTGTGTTCTGGAGCCTGGCTTAGTACCAGGCCACCTGGGAAGGGGCGGAGACAGGTTGAGGGCCAGTGAGGGCACTGCCCCAGCACGCGTGCAGGGCCAGACACAGCATCAGCAGAGGAAAGGGACAAGGAAAGTGTCATATCGCCGGCCGACCCTCCCAGCTCCCCACGGACACTGACGAATAAGCCACCAACTTGACATCAGCTTCCGGGAAGGCAGACCCACAATGTCCTGGATCGCTTTTCCAGAACTGCCCTGCCCAGTAAGCGGAACGGCAGCATCTCCAGCCTGCAGAAGGAAAATCCTCTCGCCGGCACACCCCTCGCCTGGGAAGCACCGGAGCGGCCTTCCTCTCGCCGTGAGCAGGCCTGATTACCTGTCCTCGGTCTTACCACCCCAGCCTTGGAGAAAGGCGTGTCTCAGGGGCCCAGGGAGCTGGGACCCTCCTGCCCCCAGGCAAGGCCCGTAAAAGGCTCCAACCGTCCTGCAGCCCGGCTGTGTCCACCAGACCCTGGCCAGCCTGCCCGCAGCCTCAGCGCCCCCACACCTGAGGCAGACTCCTCCCCCAGGGAGAAGATCCCAGCACAGAACCCCCAGGCTTCCAACCTCCGGATGAGAGAATTCCAGCGCAAAAAATAACCTTCCCCCACGCAGCCGTGTGGGGAGCACGAGACAGCACGCAACAAAGCCTCCCCAGCAGCCAGGCAAACCAGACAGATGCGTCCCAAGCCGGGCCGCCAGGGGCCGGCCCTGGGTGCCCTGGGCCTCCACGAGAGGGCCACGGGGACCAGGACGCCCACTCGCCACCAGAGAAGTCCCCACCCCTATGCCCAGCCACTCACCGGCACGGGAGTCTCTGCACTTAAACTCGCTCCAGCAAGAGGCATGGCAGCCAGTCGGGGGGAGGAGGGGTCCCTCCTGCCAAGGGCAGCCCGGCCCAACCACCCACATCAGAGGAGGGGGAGATACCGCTCCACTCGGCTGGGTTCGACCATGAGCTCTGGGGGAGGGGACAGCCCCCACAGTGGATTTTACTCATCAACTCCAAACAGGATGACTCCGGGGGCTGCCCCGGAGAAACACCTGCCCACTCATCCCGACAGCAGCGGTGTGTATCTATTCCTAAGCAAAGCAGCGGATCAGAAGACCCCAGCCCTGGCGGAGCCTATTTCGGCACCACGGCTGGATACAGGCATTTCAAACCCAGCCTCCCTGCCTGTCCGTGGGAAATCTGGGCTCCCTTCCTGTGCCAGAGAACCCACCAAGCCAGATTTTGTTTACAGAAAATTAATAAGACAATTCCACACCGCTGCCAGTGACATTCTGCTCCAGCCGCCACCATTCAGCACCGTTTCCAGAAACGGGCTTGTAGTTTCACTCCCCACCCCCACTCTGCACCCCCCCACACCCGCCGCGCCTGCCCGCCACCGCCCGCCCCCGCCGGGCACACAGCAAGGCTGACCTGAGGCCAAGCTGGACAGGACCCGCACGAGGTCATCCGAGCCATGCCCCGGCCTCCGGCCAGAGCTGCCAGCCCAGCACTCGCCGGCTCCCCGCTGGAGAGAGGTAAACATGACATGCATGCCGCCTGCTCCGGGGAGGGCAGACACACTCCCTGGCTGGACCGCCTGTGCCTCTCTCTCCTGCTCCCCGGACAACCACCACATGCACACGAGACGGGGTACGTACACAAGCCCCCGCATGCGGGTGCAGAGGGTCCTGACCCCCGCCAAGGAAAGCGCAGAGAAAGGCATGTTCCTGGGGGAGACAGCCGGAGGTGGGGGCCGGGCAGAGGGAGGAAGGCAGCAAACCAGGTGGCCTGCCGCCCAGACAATAACAAAGATGGGAAGCGAGATTTTTCAAAGACGCAGTGGCTGCACCCAGCGCGGAGCTCTGGCCTGGCTGCATCTTCCTGCCAGGGCACGCCTGGTCCCCTGGGGCACCACGGCCATCAGAGAAAGGCTGAGGGTCCTGCCTCGGGCTGGGCTTGGCACAGGGGCAGGAAGTCAGCTGCAGGCAGCGGACGGATGCGCCGGAGAGATCGGCTCTGGGCTGATGGCAATTAAAGGTCTGGCAATTCTGCTGGGATGCAGGAGCCGTACTCTCCCGGGAGATGCTACTGGTCAGTTGACCAGTCAGTCCCTCGGCCCTCGGGAAGGAGTTGGGCTATAACTTGTGCTCCTCCGCCGGCTGGAACCATGGGGGAGGGGAGCGCTGCTTTCCTTCTACCTACGCCTCCCTGACAAGGAGTGCCAACTGGCCAACTGTACCCCCGGACACAGCCCTCCCAAGGCGGATCCCAGTGACCTCACAGGCTGGGGCTGAATGTTGATTAGGCTCTCTGGAGCCTGCCCGTTCTTTCACCTCCGCGGGCTGGGCAGGGACACGTTCTGACTGGCACGGGAATCCATCACAGCGCCTGTGCCCAAGTGCAAAGGTGCCTGTGGCTGGCACCACTCAGGGAGACAGGACCTGGGCCCCCAGAGGCTGTGCCCGCCCAGTGCCCCCGCACGGAAAGGATGGCTTGCCCTTGCGAGCTGAAGCCTGCTCGGCTGCCGGAGTCACTGGCTGAACCACCTCCCTCCCTTCTGCCTCGGCCACACCAGCCACCTCCCCCTGGAATTTCCACACCTGCTCCAGGCTAGCCCAGGAGAGGGGAAAGAGGGAGCAGGAGACACCCCTGGGAGTGGCGAGAGGAGGGAGAGAAGCAGCTGCCCAGGCTGGAGAGGAGGACCGAGCCCCGCTTCCCCGGCCTCGGGTTATGCCCCTGAACTCAGGGCCTGGCCACTGCCCGCTCACTCGCCCCAGCCCCCAGCAGAGCACGCCCTACTTAAGAGCAGCTGTGCCCCCTAAGCGGCCCTGCCCCCTGCTCCTCCCCTCCAGATGTTCACCCTTTCCCTCGCCCGAGGAACCCAGCCGAGAAAACGCCTATTGTATCGGGATATTCAGGGGCTCCCGAGGCAGGGGGATGCGTCCTGGGAGGGGGTGGGGGGAGGCGCCACTTCCGTCCCCCACCAGCCCTGGGCACCGCACGGCCCAGGGAACAATGCCCACCTCGGCCGGGCGAGGCAGGACTTCTTGGAGAGGACACTTCCCGCCCGGCCTCGCCCCGGGCCGCGGGCGCCCTCCCTCGCCTCACCCCAGGGGCGAGAGGAAGGGTCCTCCCCTCGCGTTCCCCAGTCCAAGGTGGCCCCACAAGTTCGCGGAGGGTGGGCGGCGTGGGGTCCCCTCCCCCCTGTCGCACGCCCCGGCCCCGGCTCTCGCTTTGTCCCCGCACCCTCGGGGGCGCATCCCGGCGCGGCGCGGCGCGGCGCGGGGAGGCCGGGCCGGGCGGCGGCGGGCTCACCTCTCATTGTCCGCGGCGGAGGCGGCGGCGGCGCTCCGGAACCCCGGCAGGATGTGGCGGAAGCTGTGGTTGCGGTCCAGCTTGGGCTGGCTCTTGGTGCGCTTGATGGAGCCCTTGAGGCGGCGGCTGAGGAAGCCCTGCGCGCGGGGCGACAAGAAGGGGAAGGGGAGGCGGGGTTAGCGCGCCGGCGGCGGCGGCGGCGGCGGCGGCGGCGGGCCGGGACCCGCGCGGGACCCGCACCCTCGCTGGGCGGCCGCGCGGCCGACGGCGGGCCGGGCTCGGGCTCGGCCCCAGCAGCTCGCGGCCCGCGCCGACGGCCCGGCCCGCGCAGCGCCGCCCAGCCCACCCCGCGCTGCCCGCCCAGCCCGCCCAGCCCGCCCAGCCCCACGTCGCCCCCGCCCCCTAAGCCGCTGTTGCCGTGGCGACGCCGAGCCGAGCCGCGCCGACTGCGGCCGAGGCTGCCCGAACCCCCCGGGCGCCGGGGCGGTGGGCTGAGGGGCGAAGGGGCGGGGGCGGGGCCGATGAGGGGCGGGGACCCCCGGAGGCCTCGACCCGCAGGCCGCCCCGCCCTCACCACCACCCCCTCTCTCTCCCTTGCGGCCTCAGCAGCCGGACCCTACCGGAGCAAGGTCACGCCCCCCCACCCACCTGGAGGAATCCACGCCCCCCACCCCGCCCGGGACTGGGCGCCAGGCCTGAGCGTGCAGCCCAGCGACTACAGCTGCGGGGAACTAAGGCTCGGCGAGCGGGCGCGCGCGTAATCCTCTGAGAGTCTCGCTGGCAGTCGTTTGTAATAGTCCCCCGGCCACCTGGCCCCCGCGCCCGGGTGCTTTCCCTCCTACAGTCGCTGGCTGGCAGGGTGGAGCCCGAACCGCTGTGCCCCTCAGGGACAACCACCTTGATGCTAGGATCCCTAGAGCCCAGTTCAGGGAGACGCCCGGGGCTGAAGGAGTTGCAGAGAATCCCCACTGGCGGGTTTCAAGATCTGGGGCTCCCCACCCCCGTTCAGGCCATTCATCCATCTGCCAGATGCACCAGACTGAGCAGAGCCCGGTGCCCCAGCCCAAGAGCCCCAGGCATTCCATAGACACACAGCCCGGGTCCTGATGGGTGAGGAAAACAGGGGCAGGTGTCTGGGAGGAGTTCAGGGGTCTCACCCACACCAGCCTCAACTCCAGAAGTGGATAGGATATCCACTTATTCTGAGGTTAATGTGGCTCATAACCTGAATGTGCTGGGGGAGGGGCGGACATCCATCCCTCCCTAGGGGTGATGAGGTCAATCGCTGACTTTACAAGTGTCACCCACGCACACAGAAGAGGGCAGGAAAGCATTCTCTGTAAGTGGAGAATCCTGCCCGGAGACGTGCAGTGACTTGTCCAAGGACACCCTGCTTCCATGTCCGCCCGACGCCACCACGGCTGCCCAACCTCTCCACCATTTCCCAGCCCCTGTCTTTGCTCAGGTGGCCCAGGGGCCACCTGTCAGCACTGCACACATCCTCCAAGCCCCACTGAAAGGAACCTCAGCCCGAAGGCTCACTGCCTCCTACCTCCGCAGCCCAGCAAACGCCTCTGGGTGTTAGGAGCCCAGGAGGCACAGGGTCGCTTCGGCAGCGAGATGACCCACAGACAGGGGAGCGCTCGGCTTTCTGGGAGACAGCATGTAGGCAGGGCCCTCCCAGACCTGCCCCACGCCACGACCGGGAGAAGGGGATGCACCTGGCTCCCTTGCAGGCGTCTTCTCCCACAGGTGGCATTGGCAGGCGAGTTCTCCCAATGGGCTCGTACTTTGCTTCGCTTGTTTATTTCCTACACTGATGGAAATTTTGCATTTTTACACCCCTGTGGTACAAAGAGCCAGGAAGTCTGTTTCACCATTTAGAAAGCACATGGCAATACCCACAGCTTTAACCTATTGCTGAGTTAAACAAAGGAGAGGTCTCTCCTCTCTAGGGGGCTGAGTTGGGCACACCTGCCACTTCCCCTCCCCCACGCCTCCTCCTTGAAGCCTTCTCTGAATGGGACCTCCCCCAAGGCAAGCTGACAATGACCTTGGGGACTCAACACTCTGCGTGACATTCACTTGTTCACCACTTACTGAGAACCATTAAGTGCTGGAGGCAGCTGTGAACACGGTAGGGGGAGCAGCCTATAGATTTTGCAGCAGTTGGGGCATTCAGATCATGGGGAGGGCTCCTGTTGACCCCCAGCATTCCACACCTCCATTCCCCGCCTCCCCAAGGGACCCAGCTCAGGGCCCGGCAGATGACAGGCTTAGCAACATGTCACCATCGCAGAAAGCCACAGCCGGAAGGGGATGCAGACCCAAAAGGCAGCATTTCAGAGCGGAGGGAGGCCCAGAGGGCAGAAAGGGCTTCCCAAAGCTCCGGGCGGCCCCTGGGGCTTGATCTCCAGAGGCGGTTGCAGCCCCGAACTCAGGAAGTGGGACAGACTGGGCTCAGGTCAGAAGTCTCCTTCTAGACCCAAATCCACTTAACCAAGGGCCAGTCAGATGCCTTCTCCAGTAAAATAGAGCCCTTGGTGGCTCATTCCTGGGGCTGTGGTGGAGTGCGCTGAGGACGGAGAACTAGCAGCAGGCATGCAGCGTGCACCGGGCACACGGGACTCAACACCGGCTGCAGGGACCCCTTGCTGCACGATGACAGGTGAGGGCCATCCCCTGTCTGTGAAATGGGCCTGCGGTGAGAGTCAGCTGGGCAGATAGGGCTCTAGGCTAAGGGCACAGCATACAGTAAGTGCTCAATAAAAACCAAACAGTCTCACATCAAATTCCCGCACACGTACTAGATCGTTAAAAACACTGTTTCCAGTAACATGTTGGGCCCAGCTCATCAGTGAAGGTCACACTTGATGTCTTCAACCACTCCCTCGTCCTCCACCTGCTCCGACTCCCCAAACCACACACCCGCCCCCCACCCCGGGCCTTCCTTTATCCCGCCTTTTCCAGGAGGCCACCCCAGACTGTAGGAGCCCACCTCACTGACCAGTCTTCGGGCTGCTAAGCTCTCTGGCCTCATTTTGGTTCCGATCTTAACCGAGACAATGGCTGGGCAAATTACTAGATCTTTTAGGGCCTCAGTGTCCTCAGCTGGAAAATGGGCTAATGAAGATACCTACTTTAGGAGCCTGTGGGAGGGAAGGGCCAAATGAGATATGGCCAGTAAGGCAGTAACCAGGAGGCAGCTCTGCCCCGTAGCTGCTGGCTTCATCATCAACACCTGCTGATGCAGTGTGGCCACCTCTTTCCACCCGTGGGCAGGAGTCTGGCCTCTCCCAGGAGCCCGAGGGCCGCCTGGCAGTGAGGACATAGGCCATGAATGAACATGCTCCCAAAATGATCGTGCAGCCACAGAATGACATCCAGCTTGAGAGTTTTGAAGTCTTTGAAGCCAGCGCTTTTTCTAAGGCAACCTCACAGAGATTCCCCAAGTACAAAGTGCGCGGGGCCGCCAGGGCTGCTCAGTTGCAGGTGGGGCGGGGCCCTCAGCTTCCATTCACCAAGAAGGGACTGATGTGTGAGGCTCAGCGAGTGGCCTACACTGTCCACGGGGACCTGTGTTCCTAAGTGCTAGTCAGGCAGCCAGGCCATGGTGCTGAGGTCACCTGAGGCCCCAGGGCTCTTGCACGAGGCTGCTGCCTGGGTGTGGAGCTGTGTGGCACCCTGCCTCTCTCTGGATGGCCCACGACCCATCTGGCCACCCTACCAGGTGCTCTGCAAGTACCCTGGGCTTCCCCCCAAAGCACAGAGCAGTCCCACAGGACGACAGCAGCCTGTGGGGGTCTCTGGCTCAAAGGCCCCCAGTCCCAGCCACCCCACCGGCACCCTCGCATCTGGCCCACACCCGGCTCCATCTCCAGGAGGCTCTGAGCGATGTCATGGAAGGCCGTTCAGAATTCCAGACACGAGATTTCTGCAGTCACCCATTTCAATCAACTCCACAAGATGATGATGATGATAAATGACCAGTTATCGAGCGCCTGTTCTGCCGAGTCGCGGGTGCTTGGGAACTCACTGAGCCCTCCCGCCCCAGGAGGGGAGGCCTAGCCCCACCCCCACCCCCAGGGCCTCTTATCAGTAGTCCTTGGGAGGACGCGGGCTTCAGAATTCACAACCGTTTGGGTTTTCCGGTAGGGAAATGGAGAGTCAGAGAAGAGAAGTCACTTGCTGAGAAGGGCAAGGTTATTTCACGGTACAGCTGGGGCTGCACACACGCCCCAGGCACCATGTCGGGTCCAGAACTGGAGGCCAGAGAGGAGGGCAGACGGGGAGGCACAATCTCTCCCTTTGAACAGGGCTGACCCACAGCGGCTCACAGGCAAGGCCCCAAGGCTCAGGGAGGGAAACCTTGCCCAGCCTCCTCTTCACCCAGGCCCAAGAGGCAGCACTTAGGGTGCCACCTAGGGCATGCCAGCACTTCCGCCCAACATCCAGGAGCCCTGTGGCCAGCACACAGTAGGTGCTCAATCGAGGGTGAGTTCCTGCCCCCAGCCCCAGCTGTACCCGCCCTTCAGGCCTGCCTGTATCACCTTTTCCGCTTGCAATGAACCAGCTCTGAGTCACTTCAGGTGGGTGGGTGGGCCTGAAGTCCCTGCCCACTCTGGGACTCCAGACAGTGCTCAGGAGGAGGCAGAACCCCGTGGGCCCCGCCCTCAGCCCAGGCCCTGCTCGGCTCATGGCCATTTCTGACAGCCTGCAAGGAGGCAAGTGTCTGTTCATATCTTTCTAGGCTTTGTTCAAAGGCCAAACACACAGCTAAATAAACAGGAAAGGGCCGGGGAGATCCCATCCAGATAGTGCCACCTCTCGCAGCCCTGTAAGAGACATGCACACGGGCTGCCAGGCAGACCCACAGCTTGGCAGGAGCACCGGAAAGGGGCTGGAGGCTGGAGGGTCCTGCTTCCAGGGTCATAGGCGAGAAGGTAGCCAGACCAAAGCCCACAGAGCACAGATAAGGCACTGCCCACGCCCAGAGAGCAGCACAGCTGGCCCAGATTCCCAGCAGGGGAGCAACAGGACGTCAGAGCCCAGGTCCCCTCGCTCCTTGCCCAGTGCTCTCTGCAAATCCCGCACCCAGGCCTTAAGAAATGGCCCCCCTCCCCCACCCCGGCTCCCT